TGAGCTTTTCTCTGCAAGATGGGGACTCTGGCAAGATGGGTTGATTCAGGTCGCGGCTTTGGAGAATTCCAGGTTTGTAGGAACTCTTTCCAGCCTTGATCCACGGGTTCCTTGCCTCTTGGCTTTTGTAGCACAGAAGAGAAGAGTGAAATGTGTGCTGAGAAGAGTGGAAAAGCTGTGATCAACATGTTTGGATGATGTTACATGTTACATGTTGGACCTTGGGATTTTGGAAAACTGTGATGAGAAGAGTGATGAGAAAAGTGTTACATGTTTTGACAATCTTCGAGATCTGGGGCGCTTTATCAAGCATTGGGCCTCGCAGCCTTGGTCTTAGTAGTGTCAGCGTGTCAGAAGCTTTGGACACTGTACCCTTTGAACCGAGAAAATGAAAGTAAACATCAGTGTCCCTACCACACAAAGTGGCACTGAAGTTGTAGATGTTATGAGGCGCTGCATCAACAACCGGGCAGAGGGAACACTGAGCACCTACACGCTGATACTGTGCTCAGCCTGCATTTAGTTGTCCACCTTGGTCCTTCACAGATCTTTGGTTTCGGCGTGCTTGAGCTGATACCTCGAACTCCTTGGTTCAAGACCCCAAGGGTGCCCAAGTAAGATTAATAAACGTCCTTGGGGATGTCGTGATTAGCATTCTGGAATGTTTGGGGCTTGTGTTCGGAGGAGCAGTGAAAGTGGAGGAGCATCTCATGACAGCAATTTACTGTATATAAATCTCAGAGATAGAGGGAGAGAGAGAGAGAGAGAGCAAGCCAGCCAGCCAGGAAGGAAGGAAGGAAGGAAGCAAGGAAGGAGGATAATGAATGCTTGTTCTTTCGAAGGCAGCTCTTCTACTCCCTCCAGCTCCGAAATCCTCCTGTGCTGCCCATGGTCACTGACATCCTCACGGAGTCTTTGCAAACACAAGGCGGCAAAAATGGACAAGTACAGTAGCGAAGTGTATTTCACTGACTGACTCTAACTGTAGGTGTAGGCTAGGTTGAGAGCATCACGGAGATAAGGCAAACGAGCAAGGAAGCAAATGCAGCAAACTGTTTGCTCCATTCATCCTAGTGCCAGGTGTGTCGGGCATGGAGCCTTCTATTGAGGCAAACTTCAAGCGGAAGAGCTGTATTTTACGCTTCCACCTGTGATAAATTGGTTTGAACTTCAGAATTGGATGAGATGGTAGGTGCCAAAGGCCGTGAACCACTTCCTGACAGACCCCGAGATGGCCAGCTGCTGAGACAATTTAGAGAGGAAAGAACAGAAGATAGGGGCACCTTTAGTAAGCTGCCGTCGCCGTGTGAAGGGGAGCTTATCAAAGGGACTCGTATCTTTTTTCAGCTCTTTGTGTATATATATACAGTATATTATTTTGCACCTACTGGTATTGGACATGCTTGGCACCAGGATGAGATGACCGGTGAACTGCGATCCTTGCCATTCCTCACAGATCCAAAGATGATCAGAGAGGAGACAGGGAAGTGTTTCTTGATTGACAAACCCTAGTCTTGTAGTATCATTAGCTCAACTCTTCCACTGGTCTATACGCAGCTATAGGAGAGAATCCGACATCGCATGAACGAGGACAGCAGAACTCTTCTAGGCCAGCTGCATCATGTTGCAGTGCTTCTGTCAACTTGAGGAAAGCTTGGGAGAGCTTTTGCTGGGCTTCTTCGAATTGTGGGGGCGGGAGGCGCCAAGGGGACAAAGCTGAGGAATTGCTCACAGTGTTGGCCTCAATATGTGCAGCACGGAAAAAATTAGGCTCACTCAAGTCTCTCTAAAGCTTCCCAAGGCAATGGACCTTGGTGACATTTGGTCCTCCAAAACAGATTTGGGAGGGCTGTTTGTTGCACAACCCGCGAGCTGTTTTGATGATCTATGTTTCACGGTTTGTGGTAGCTTGTGGTAATGCATCCTATTTGTTGAAAGTATAGTAAATGATACATACTTTCTTGAGACATGCTTTGACGGTTTGACACTTGTTTAAAGCCTGTTCCAGTGTTGCCTTGGATATGGATGATCGGCAATGTACAGCGGCCTTTTCGCGTTCAACCGTTTCAGCGTTGGATTCGCAAATGCTTGACCAATCCTTTGGAACTACCTCTGGAGGTTTTTGCAAAGCAATCTCCATGTCCCATCGTCGATGAACTGTGCTTCTATTCTAGCGACTGGGTTGACTTGCAGTTGCCACCGACCCACAGGTTTCCAATTGACAAGTACCAAAGGGTGCGGGAGCTCTTGCAAGAGGAGGGGCTTCTGGTCCGCGCAGGGCCTTTAGCAACATTTGAAGAGGCTTGCTTGGCCCATGATATTGATTATGTCACCCAGATCTTTACCGGAATGGCAACCGACGACATGCGAAGACGTGTTGGTTTCAAAGAAGCTCCCATGAAAGCATACGTGCTTCGAACACTGGCAAGTTTGGGTGCAACGGTCGCTGCATTGAGACACGCATTAAACAGCCAAACTTGGAGTGGAGCAGTATCTGGTGGTACACACCATGCTTTCGCTGATGCAGGCGAAGGCTTTTGCGTGTTCAATGATATTGCTGTTGCCGCCCGTTTGGCGCAACAGGAGTTCAGTATTTCTTCAGTGCTTGTGGTTGATTTGGACGTACATCAAGGAAACGGAACAGCAAAGATTTTTGCAGGTGACCCCTCAGTGTACACACTTTCACTCCATCAGCAAAAGGGATATCCATTTTCAACTCGCCACGCTTCTGATGTCGAAGTGAATTTGCCGGATGGCTGCACAGATGAGGATTACTTGTTAGCTTTGCACAAGTCCTTTGAAGGTATTATTCGTCGCAGGCCTGAGGTGATGATTTATCAGGCCGGTGTTGATGGCCTGGCCGGTGATCGCTTTGGTCGCTTTGCACTCACGCGCCAGGGCCTGTGGGAAAGGAATCAAGTTGTATATTCTTGGGCTGCTGCAAATGAAGTACCGTTGGTTGTGACCATGGGTGGCGGTTATCACAGAGATATCCGCCAAACAATAGATGCAAGTGCAGATGTCTACCGACAGGCGGCTCAGACCTGGCAGGAGGTTGTCAAAAGATTGCAGAGTCCTTGCATCAGCCCGAATCGGCCCCATGCGTCTCACGGCTGTTGATCTCCGACGGACATACACTTTTGGTATAGACAATGAAAGCAAAATGACCAGCAAGGGCATTTGGTAGGATAGTAGCAGTCGATGTACATGTTACATGTATGTATGTGTATATCGTATACAACTATATAATCATATATATATATATGTATGCACAAACAACAAAAACAGAATTCAAGAACGGCAGATGGTTGGTTCAATGTATCAGATCTGAGAAACACACTCAAATCATCCAGCTATTCAAGGAGTTCCCAAGTCAGCGTGCAAATTGCAACAATACCGACACGGCCACGTAGAATCAGGATTCATTCTGAACCGAGAGGAATAGCTTGCGGATCAAGTAACGCCAACAAAACAGTCCCAGACAGACCACCGACAGACCCGACAGACTGAGAGAGGAACGAACTCTAACCAGTTGCTAGCTAGTTTGCTGCATCACTGCATCTTGTTTGATCAGAAAGTCCTATATACAGTTATATACATATATAACATATATACCTCTACTGCTCGGAGTGACAACAAGGTCAGCAAAAGAATTGTCATGCTCCAGTCCTGGCAGGAATTTGGTGGAGGAGAGGAAGGTGATGGACAGACGGTTTACGTCTATGATGCCTCCTGTGAGCTGAACGATCTTGGCGTTTTGGTCATGAGGTCCGAGATTCCATGTCCTCAGCTGCTTATGCATAGGTGGCATAAGCATAGGCTGATAAGGCCGATCCACTGGGCAGGTGCCCACTCACTGGAAAGAACGTGAATCCTTTCACTACCATGGTGCTGCCCTTAGTTCAACTTGGGCCATACACTTTGGTGAGCAAAGACTCACATAAGAAGCACAGCTATGTTTGCCCAGGTTTGGCGAGCTATCCATGGCGAGTTTGCCCGAGCAGCCAGATTGTTGCGAGCAGGATGAGCCCTCAAACGAGTTGTCCATCATCAGTGCATCAAGATGCAGCCAAATGTTTGATGCAGAGACTTCTCGTTGAAACTAGTTGATGAATGTGGATCTCAAGATCTCAAGGATGTAGGCTCGAAGAGCTGTGCGAGCCTACTGAGGCTGGTTATATATTGATTTCACACAGGAATAAAGGAAGAACCGAAAGAACTGAAAGAAAGAGAAAGTAATTACATGGAAGGGAAAGTACATATCAAGGCCTAGCTAGATTCGTGATGAATAATTTGAAAACAAACGGACAAAGCATGGCAAAGCTGCAGCATACTCAGGGGCCACCCGCTGGTTGTGGCCACCGGGGCGGTGGAGGTCGCTTGGCTCAAAGGGAAGCAACATCCGGTCCCACTGCCCGTGGTCGCTTGGCTACTCCAACCGGTCACGCACGGTTGTTGCACAGCGGCATTGCGGCAGTGCTGCAGCCCTGAGGTGCAGAGATTGCTGCGGCACTGTATCCTGACGGGCCTGATGGGTATGGTGAGACAGATATGCCAGATGTTCAGGAGAGCGAAATGGTGTGATGTGTGTGACATTCAGTACCAGTGAGCGCATGTCAGCACTGCACCAATGTAAATGACATTCCGTGACGGTTTTTGACAATGTGGTGTTTGATGGTGTTTGTATGAAGCGCTATCATGCTTTATATAAATACTGTTGAATCGTGTATTCATGCAAGGGAATTCCACCCATTTCTGACATTTGGCCCTTCGAGCTGACCCCGATAGTTTACATGGTACTCAAAACATCCTGTATTCAAAAAAGTCAAAATGTGGACATGTAGAATTGCAGCACAATAACTTTTTGGAAGAGGATGGAGCAGGTAGTCGTCTCATGTTAAGGCTTTGATTGCAGATTTACAAAGATGGCTCATCGGTCCAAGGGACTCTGACAAGTGCAAAAAATATATATGCTTTGAATTTACGTTATTCAAGAGACAGTAGTTTGCATGGATTTGCATTATCACCATGTTGGACTGTGACGTTGCATTGAAACGCCATGTGCAGCTCTGGGGTAAAAGAGTTGCGGTCTTAAGATTGACAAAGGGTGTTTTAATGCCATTTGAGGCTTAGTTTTGTGAAGCCGCATCAGCCGAAGTGCTGAGGTGTGGCGCGTGCGGGTCGCCCGATCCAGAATTTGCATGTTCACGATGCAAGGCAGGGAAGATACAAGGAACCTTGTTACTAGTAGCGATGCACTGATGGCCTCCACCGTAATAGCGATTGCCTCCAATCTAGCAGCTTCTTGTTACTAGTGGCGACGCAAGTAAGCCAAGCGCTCCACTCGCTCCAAGCAAACTGATCAAGGCCGCCAGATTTTGTGGCCCAGAGTGCTTTCGCAAAGCATGGCCAGCTCACAAGGCACAATACACCCAACATAGACCGGTGCAGCACCAGACTTTATTCCAAAGACCGTCAAAGGACAGTTTGCCGCGCAGTTTTTGCATGTCGTTGCGCTGCGCTTGCAAGACTTTGAGACCAGGCCATTTGCGGCGCCCGAGCTGAAAAGGCTCCCGTCAACATTATGAGCCTATTTGGATGTCAACGAACAAGCAATTGCACAGGAAAAAGAGAGACCGCACCCGTGGCCTTCGTAAGCAGCTCAGATGACAGCTGAAGTTACGGAAGCCACCTGCATCAATGACATGCGAGGAGCCACATCGTATGTGCGATTGTTGCAAGGCCGTTTTCATGCGTTCGAGCGCAGTCAGAAGGTTTGGTCCAGCCTGTTGCTTAGTCACAGTCCGGATTATGAAACCGGTTGCTTGCGGCTGCGCAGCGAGCACCGAAATGAATCCCAAGGACAGGTCGGACAGGTCGCATTGCCTTCATTGACTTTTGGCCTGGCTTCGAGGATTCTGCTGGTTTCGCATAGTTCGTGAATGTTCATGACATAATATGCTAAGATGTTTTCTTTGTCCGACCCTAGGACAATACTGACCTTTGGTTTTGCCAGGCCAGCGCAGACTTGGTTCCAATGCAGTTTGATTGCCATCAACATGCTTACAGGACTGGTTCAAAAGAAACCTGCCTGGTGTGGAGATCGTTGACGCATCAGCAGCCAACTTGGGAAAGCCAAAAGTATATTAAACGGATAAGAGCCACAAGGAAGATCGAGCGCAGGAGGATATAAGAAAAGTTTTAACAATACGTCAAAAATGCTGAAATGTGCTGGGATGTCCTGCAAAAAACTCCTGCACAAGCTCAGAATGAGGCCAGCCCCGACGTCATCATGTTCAGCATGTTTGATCCTTATTTGAACCCGTGCGATGTTCTGCCGAAATCTGTGTCGACTGTGTCGACGTGTGATGTCAATTCTGCAAGGTTTGGGAAACGATACATTTCACTTCTTCAGTCGGGCTCATCGGCGAAGCTGGTCTTTTTCACAGGCACAGAAAATCAAAAAGGAAGGGTGAGGAGAAGAAAAAGGATAGAAAAAAAGACAGTACAGAAATGTACAGGGTCCTTTTAATGAGTCCTCTTTAAAGGCGGCCCTATTCAAGATGCCCTTTGCCTTTTGTTTCTGTTTTTCTTCTCTATTCCACCACGTCCAACCTGGCCCAACCTTCAGGTGAAAACCTTCGACCTCCGGCCGCAGGCTTGATTCTGCCCGGAAGTTTTTGTCCTCGCAGCAGCTCCGCCACCTAGGTTGGACGAGTGCCCTTGTGTGTTTCTTTTGATCATTTAGAAGGAGTACCTCAAAGTATTCATGCGCCAAGCACTTGGAATAATTGGTGCTGAGAGCCATTCTTTGGGCTTCACCTTAGGCGAATTCCTTTGTGGGTCTTCAACATGGAGGTCGCTGTTCTTTTTGGTGGCACGGGGGGTTGTTGTGCTATAAGGGACGTGGCACTTGGGAGTCAAGAAGTTATCGGGGATCTCACAGTATGGCCTTATAGATGCTCCGCAGGTTCATGAAGTGTTGACGATGCATGCGGCAAGGCTCAGCAGGGATGCCCAGTATGCTGCATCTATTAGAGGATCGTAAAGCCGAACATATCTCTGCGCAGTGGCTAAATTGGAGAAAGGGCTTGGGGATCAGGCGGTAAAGTCGATGAATCAGTTTGGAAGCGTGACTTTTGCTGCTGGGTGGCAAGCAATGCAACCATGTGACCTGCCATGTTGCTAAGCTAGGATGCTGTTTTCAGAGGAAAGGTGACGTTCAAGTTGGTAGCTCCAGGTACAGAGCAGAGTTCAGGACACGCTTTGTGAAGACACTCTCGGCAAGGCTTCTGACGGTCAACTGTCCATTGCTGTAAATATTGTAAATACAGCAGATATGATACGAGAAGCTACTAGGAACAAGTGCATCGCTTCTAGAAACAGGTGCCGTACTAGTAGTAACAAGAAGCTTTTAGTAACAAGTGCATCGCTAGTAGTAACAGGTGCCGTACTAGTAGTAACAAGAAGCTTTTAGTAACAAGGTGCTATTGTAGATGCTTCCTCAGGTACAAGCAGGTGGACTGCGGGGGCGATCCTTGGAGCACTTCAGTCACATGGGTGGAAATCCAATTCGGATCTGTGAATAAAGTTGGAAGATTTCCTTGCAGTAGCAGCTGCTTGTCAGGAAGTGCTAAACAATATTGGCGGAAAGGTTAAGGAGAACCGGTTGGGCGACTTCCTGGAACGCTCTTGTTGATCTAAGTACTATATATGTACGTGTTCGACATGTTTTTGGGTTTTAATGCAAGTCTTAAAACTGTTGAGGACAAAATGACATTTCTACGTGGGTATCGATTCAATATTTGCTTTGAGAATGCGTCGCACCCAGGCCCAGTTTGAGCCCCCCATCACCGTTCGCTTCCGCTCGAAAGAATGCTGAAAGGCTATTGCACTGAAAAGATATTGCATGCCTTCGCAGCTGGATGTGTCGGGCACTTGAGGAGCAAGACAGAGAGGTATTTGAAGCAATTAGCAGCAATTCATAGCAGGTCCCTATATACTGGGGCGATCCAAATGCTGGACCCTTATTTGCCAACTTGAAAGTCCAAGTTCTGTCATACTAGCATCTTCCATGTTTACCATATCCGACGTTCCACTGATACAAGGCTTGCCCAACAAGTGATCGAGCTTCAATGTCTGTGGCGCTCTTGGAGTAGCTTGGGGAGTTTGGGGAGCTAAGGGCTAGTACACTAGCGCAAGTATTGCTGATAGAGTCTGTTGACAAGCCTCAATGCCTGACTCAGTCCTCTGAGGATTTCAATCCAAGGGCATTCATTAGTGCCTGCCCTACACATTGTGTTGATTGATGACAAAACAAAAAACGGCAAGCAGTACATCCTTGATGGTGGTCAATGCTGTTTGTTCTGCAGCTGTAGAGTCAAGTGTAAAGCCATACTGACTACGTACTGCAGCCTCAGCAAGCCATGTTGCTTCAAGCGTTATTGGCTGCTGAACCCCAGCAGCAAGCAGGCTGTGCTGTGGGTTGACCTACCTGTTGCTCCTTAATTATTTTGATGTTTGTTGGAGAAGGGGGGGGGCCGATGGCTCGGATGGGATTCAGTCACAAGTAATTGCCGAAGGGGGTAGCCCAAAAATGTCCGGTTTGGAAGCGTGAACCCAGAGCCTGCTTGGGGAGAGCGAAAAACACGGGTCGGCAAAATTTTGCACTATATATGCTTGCCTTGGCAATGCAAGTGACTGGGCTGGTGCCCTTTGGCATTTGAGGGTCGTCTCGGGGCAAAAAGGGGCACCTCTGAGCAATTGGGTGCTAGCACCAAGCTTCTTGGAACAGACCTTCAGGAGGATGGCCTTTTCGGGGCAACTAAAGAGTACTTCCAAAAAGTGGGCTCTAGCAAGAAGGCCTTTGACAAAGCAGGACTCCGCTAGGACGAATTGTTGACACAAGTATGTAAAGACCATTCTTTTAAAGAGACCAGACGCAGAGGGGGCGAAGAAACACCCTGAAGCCGCACTTCTGGGTCGGTGCGTTTGTGTTACGCTCTGAGAAAGTTGATATTAGTGCCAAGTTTCCAAAAAAAGGCCCAGAGTTTTGTGTTGGCGCCCTTGTGCGCTTTTGTTTGAAGGCTATCTTGGGGCAAAACAGTGCACTTCCGAAAAAGCAGGCTCTAGCGATAAGGCCCTGGACAAAGCAGGGCATGGCAGATGCATCTTGGAAACAATTCTGCAGGTTTAAGTTCATATAAGTAAACTGTACTGCATCCACATGCAGTATGTCATCTAAATTGGGAGGGGCGTCCCCCTGCCACTTCACATCAGCTCGTGATACGAGCACCTCGTGCGCACCAGGAAAGCGCAGTAATCGCGCTTTCTTCTCACTGGTGCTTTGAGAGTTTTGAGATGGGGAAGAAATGAGGGAAACTAAAGTAACCAGAAACATATGCATTATACATTACTCAATATGGTATCGATGGTTTCCTTTATATACTTGCTTGTTGTTTCAACTGAAACCTATTTTGCCACCACCTTACACCCGACAACCTCAGAACCTCAGAACCTCTCAGAGCAGTGTCGACTATCCCAACGAATTTGCGGAATATATAAGAGCTAAAAGTACCCAGTTTAGGAGCCTTTGTTGTTTGCTCTTGCTGCATCAGCGATAAGTGAGGTCCTTTTAGGTGCGACCGGCTTCGATTGCAGCGGATATGAGTGCAAAGCACCCCAGGACCTCCAAGCTGTGTACTTCGATGGTGTAACGTGAAGGGTTTGTGTGGTTTCATCATGCATCTTGGTGTTTTGCTTCGCTGTTCTAGTTGATTCGTTTTTTGGGGTTCAGCATTCTAGAGCCCAAGTTTTGGTTGAATTGGATGGCACGGGATTGGAGCAATTGAACTCCGGAAAATCAACGTGTTTGGATGACATTGACATCAGAACTGCCGCGCTCAAGATCAGAAAGAGCAGCCCACTTTAAAGGTTCAAGAAAGCAGAAGCAGCAAAGACTGCTTACTCCAAACCGAAGCTTTCTAGACGAACGCGTCTTCACCTTCAAAGACGCCAGATGCGCACAAAATAGGTCAGCTGTTGATGTGTGGCAGTTTGTTTTGAGTTGGGAGCCGAACATGAGTGGATAATGTTTGTGGCCGATTGTTGCTTGCGCCGAACATGAGTGGAACATGTTTGCGGCCGATTGTTGCTTGTAGTATACTGTAGTTGTTGATCCCTGTTGAAATGTCCTTCCTAAAATGGTGGGCCTTCCGGCGACTATAGAGCTACCATGTTGTAGTAAAATCACTTTTTGAGCCTACAAATACACACCCAACTTTTTCTTTTCACGTCCTTTTTTAGGAGGTGCTATTTCTAGGCTCACGGCGCACCCATGCATTTTGTAGGTAAAAAGGCGGTCAAGGCCCGCATTTAGTAGTAACTTGTCCGAATTCGGACATGTCATTATGTAAGAAAACAAAATTGAAGTGTTCATTGTGTAAATATCTTTTGGCTATATGACTCAAGTGTGGAAGAGCATTTTGTACAGATATTTGGGCTATATGACTCAAGCGTGGAAGAACATGTTATAAAGAATGTGTTTTTAATCATGTTGTCAAGATATTTGGGCTATGTATGCTCAAGTGTGGAAGAGCATTGTGTAAAGAATGTAAGAAAAGCAACGAAAATGATTAAACCTCATTTCGTAGACCGAAGGTCTGATCATTTCATGTTGTATCATTTTGTAGACTATTCAGAGGAGGGGTATTTAACTTCGGAGAAGTTATTTGTTTTTTTTGTATTCTTGTGTTTTTCTGTGCTTTCTTTGCTCTTCCTTGCTTCTCACTGCGTCTCTTCTTTTCTTGCTTTTCCTGCTTTTCTGCGCTTGTCTTGCTTTTCCGTGCTTCTCACTGCTTCAGTTCTTTTCTTGCTGTTCCTGCCTTGCTTCTCACTGCTTCTCTGCTTTTCTTGCTTTTCCTGCTTTTCTGTGCTTGTGTTGCTTTTCCTTGCTGTTCATTGCTTCTTTGTGAATCCGCTTTCTTTCCTCGCTTTTGCTGCTTTTTGCGCCTTCTTTCTTGCTTGGTTGTTTTATCCTGGGCCACCAGACTTTGACCATCTCACAAAAACTTGAGTGGGGTAGATCAGCAAGGTTTACAAAGCGCTGCCAAGATAATAACTCTAGAAGAAAGGGACCATTCCAACATAGTACATCTTCTGTGAGCGACCCGAGGGTGAGCCACCTGAGGGTAAAAGTTAGAGGAGGAAGCGGCCATTCCAACGGTGCATACCTTTTGTGAGCCAGCCGAGGGTAAAATTTAGAGGAGGAAGGTGCCATTCCAATGCAGCAACATGCCTGTGTGCGTAAGTGAGTCGCTGCGTGCGCACGTGAGTCACGCGTGCGCAACTGGGGTAACTTTTGCGTGTGCAAGCGTTGTTGTGAACGCGGGCCCTTCACAACTAAATCGACCTCGCGCGCGCAAGTGAGACCCTTCCCACGGCGGATGCTAGGGCCACCAGGCTTTGGCCATCTCACAAAAGACTTGAATGCTCAGATCGGCGAGGTGTACAAAGCGCTGCCAATATAAAATTTAAAGAAGCAAAGGGACCATTCCAACATAGCACATCTTCTGTGAGCCCCCCGAGATTGGATGCTAAGGGCTACCAGGCGTTTGCCATCTGACATGAGACCTGGATGTTAATATCAGCGGTCCGTGATTCCCACAATGCACTCCGAGGTTCACATAACGCTGCTCACCAGGAAATCTGCATCGGACCCTCTTCAGATGACAAAGCACAAAAGGACTACAGTGGAGAGCTGACAGTTAGAATATGGATTTCAATGATCGCTGATTTACAGTAAGTAAATACCCTAGAATACGGTTATGTCGTATGCCCTGGGGGTGGGGACCAATTTGGCAAAGCAGCGCAGCAAGGAACAAGCACGCACCGGATGTTAGTTCATCCGTGTAGCATGTCATGCACTGTCCTGTTGACACTATACTGCCATATTCTATCTCCATGTTTGCTCCTTTCCACCCCCAGCGTATAAAATCTCCATATTCTATCTGCAACAAAAATCATATTCTAACTGTTGGCTCCCCATAGTAGGTTCATTTTGTAGAAAAGAGGTTTCATTTCATTTTGTAGGCGATTCAGGTGCCAAGAGTACAAAAGGATTAGGCTCATTTTGTAGGCAAGAAGTCTCGTTTTGTAGACTAACTAGTACAAAATGATGCGATTTCTTAGATTTCCGGGAGGGCCCTTCATTATGTAGAGATTGTGCGCGCGCGCACTTTCTACAAAATACCGTTGAGGCCCTCATTTAGTAGGTTGTTTTGTAGTTATTTTCGCATGTCATTTTGTAGATTCCCTTGAGCAGGAAGCTGCGCTGCGAGTAAGCTTGAGGGTGCAAGCAACAATAAAGTGTGTCAAATTCTCAAAGGGCCACCTCATTCTGGGATTTGCCAGAACGGTGTTGATATATTTGTTAAGCACAAATTTGTTTTTCGACAAAAGTTTCTGGAAGGTTTGTCCAATCAGCAGGGGGCCATCCCCCTCCCCAGTGGCGGATGGCCATCGAAGAGGCCACAGGGGAGGGCTACAAACGTACCTGGTGAACTGTTGTACAAGCTGTTCTCCTTTCGGTTTGCTTCTCATGGTGGTTCTCATGCTATTCCCCTAAACCTCCTCTTTTTGTTTGCTAAGTGTTCAGTAAAGCGCTAACGCGTCAACATTGTTAAACATTTCAGTTGCGCCGATGTTGCGCCTTTCCGTTCCCTCATTCATTTCACTGTGGATTGTGGAAACTTCAAACCCTGTGACAAAGTGTGTGTGTGTGTCAACACCTGTCTCCAAGGATTCGGACACACTAAGGATTTCATAATTCAATTCTTGCAGCTCCCTGTACAGCAGCAGGGGGGTAGTGCACGACTGACAGACACTGCCCAACGAAGACACTGTCAGCTCGTGGTGAAGCAATGTGGGACGCCGCATTGTGTACCTGCACCAACTTTTAAAGCACTGTAAAGGGCTACTGCAGCACTTCCTGCAGTTGGTTCAAGTCAAGGTCTACTTGCGCGTAAAGGTCTACCTGCGGTAAACTGGGACTTACTGCTCTTGCGAGCCTTTATCTAAGTGTGTCTGGCCACAGGGTCCCACTGTGGTCTGTGGTGTGACGCCCGTCGAGGTGCGTTTTCTTGCACATGCCCGCAAGGGGGGTCATTCACCGGTTTTCGTCGCGCTCGAATTCTACTGGCTCAACGGTGATTCTCGAAAATGTTAAACTTATGCCGCAGGGCTCACTGAGATTTCCTTCGAAAGAATGACATGCCACGCTG